CCAAAGGACTTGACTGTAGGCTGCTGGGTCGGGCTCTGCTGGTCCAACTGGCCCAGCCACTTCTCCTGGGCACTGCCCACTGCCTCTTTGCAGAATCTTACCAGGAGATGCCAAGTCTGCCAGGGGCCTCAGCTCCCACTTCCCAGTCTCCAGACAAGGATAAAGAGGTCATGAGCTCCAGGCTGCTCTGTTCAGCCTGAAAGAGTCAAGAGTCAGGGCCAGGTCATATCCCTCTGGAAAGGGATGTGGGGAAACTGTCTGAGGAGACCTGTGCGATTACACTCTCTTCTTTAAATGGGCTTGTTTTTGCTTTAAAGGACAGACACATCCTTTTCCCATTCAAACAGCCAATGGATCCTTTTTTTTTTTTTTTTTTTTTTTTTTAAGGTTTCTGTGGCTCTACCTGCCTATCTGTCATTTCCAGCTTTGGGTCCTCACCGGGCTTGGTCCTCACCAGCAAGGCAGTGCCAGGGCAGGTGTTGATGTCTTGGCAGTGTCCAGGTAGCTATGTGACCCAGGAATAGCGCTGGGTCTTTTATAGTGCAGCCAGAATCACATGGAGGACTGGCACCTCCCCCTCCTTGCTGGGAAATGCTTCCCTAGGGCAGGGAGGGGCGAGGCTGCAGGCCTGATCATACCAGTGCACAGTCCCAGTGTAGCAAGGGAAGAGAGACTGCAAGGTGGTACGGAAGAGGCTGGGGTGGAAGGGTGAAGGGTAGGGGTGTGGTGTGGTGGTGGGGGATGCAGTTGTAGGTGAGGGCTTGTGTGGCTTGAGTCTCTGGAGGGACTGTCTACAGCCCTTGGCCTCTTCAAGGACCTTTCATCCCAGGGATACTTCATCCCCTGTCCTTAGTTTCCTGTATCTGCCAAATGTTCAGGGAGCCATCAACCACAGAGGAGCTGAGACAACCACGCAAGAGCAAGTAAGGGACTGGTAAAGCCACCCCTGTCTCACTCTCCAGCCTTCACCTCTGTGGGACCCTGGCCTTCACCCCTGAGTGGGTTCTGGGGAGATCAGGATGTTCCTTATAGTCTGTAGCTGACACTGGTGACCAACCCCACAATCACAGGTTCAGAGCAGAGCAAGGCAATCACCGTTCAGCTCTTCCCTGCCATGTGGCACCACCCATAAGGTCTTTCTGGTCTGACTTAGCTTGTCCCTCACGTAGTGCCAGAAGCTGAAGCCTCTGTGACTGCCCATCTTTGCTGCTCCCAGGTCCCCGTGAGGAACTGTTACAAAAGGGGCTTGCTCAGGAGACAGCCTGGCCGGAACTGTGCTAAGGTCAGTGCTGGGCTCCACCCACGAGAACCACAGGAAAGTCCTATGCTCTGCTGTCTCCCAGGCACTTTCCCCATTTCTTCCCAGGAATTCTCAAGTTTCACTAAACAGATTTATGGAAGAGGAATTACAGGGAGGATTAGGCCAGCCCTGCTGACTTTGTGTTGACAGCTGGAACCAAGCCAGGTTGAGCTTGCTCCTCTGGTCTCAGAAGCCCCGTCTCAACCACCAGATGTCATTATTAACATCTCCATTCCACAGATGAGGAAAATCACAGGTTCAGGGCAGAGCAAGGCAATCACTGTTCAGCTCTTCCCTGCCATGTGGCACCACCCATAAGGTCTTTCTGGTCTGACTTAGCTTGTCCCTCACGTAGTGCCAGAAGCTGAAGCCTCTGTGACTGCCTTGGTGACCTGAGGCCTAGGCATGCCCCACGCGTTCTTCCCATCTCACTACCCCCAACAAAACCCTGCCAGGCTCCGCTATTCCCAGCAGTTGCCCAAATATATCATTCCTGCTGCCTCTGTTTCCTGTCCCAGAAACATGAGTCCGCTCTCTTGAGCAGGCCAGTGTTCTGGGCGTGGTGGAGGTGGCTGCCCTGACAGCCAAAGCTTCAGGGCTAGAATAATGACACAGGCAGAGACAGAGCAAATGGTACTGAGCACGGGACAAAAACTAACTGCTGACCGAGATGAAATGGGAGACCCTGTCCCGTCTTCAGCTGGTGGCTCTCAGGAACAATGGCTGGTCTTTTCAGGTTGCTTCTTTGGATCCTAGACTTCTCCTTCAGAGGTCTTAGGACCCTATTTTGCTCATGGTTTGGGATAGTGCCAGGGTGGCAGGAATCTCTGTCCTTTTCCCTGGACAAACTCTCCAGAGAGCCCTCGGTGGTTACTGCTCAGTTCCACCCACCTCTGGTCCCTTGGCTTTCCCTTAAGCTGGAGAAGAAGGGGTGAAGAGGAGGGAGGAAGAGAGAAGGAAAGAACTACTTCTGGGGGCTGCTTTGAGCCCAGCCTTCCTGAAGGATTTAAACCCATGTCATGAGAGACAATCCAGAACCCCTTCAGGGCCAAAAGCCTGCGACTTAGCACAATGGCCATTGCTATAACCCTAAACATACAACATAGAGACCAAGTCCTTAGCAGACATCCACCCTGGCTGAGAGTGTATCCATTCTCCCCTCTCTCTCTCCTTTCTCCTATCTCTCTTTACATGGCCTCTTTCATAGGTGAGAATGGGTTGGGGAGGTGTGGTCCTGAGGATGCAGTCAGGGTCATAGGTTCGGCATGTGATGAAGTTTCCTTTGTAGCCTCAATAGGCCCTTATTAGGTTGGCTGGCGACAGCTCATCTTGACCCTGCCCGGGACTACCCATGTTGTACCCAGCTCCACAATGCAGTGGTTCTAGCCAACCCGGTCTGAAGCCCTGACTTCTACACAAGCCTATCTTCTCCTTTGGCCAGTCTCTGGAGCGAAGCCCACCTACATCTCTCTTCTGCCCTTGCCAGAACATGGCCAGGTCAGTCTTAGCCGCTCTGCATTTCATTATGTCACAGTCCCCCTTGCTAGTCAGCAAAGTTGCCCTTAACTATGGTCCTCACTTCTTGGGTGCTTGAGGATCGTACACAAGGCACACATCTAGCACCTAGGACAGAGCCCAACCCTGGGTAGCCCCCATTGTCAAACACAGTTATTCTTCATTGCCTTTTTCCAAGGCAGAAAGCAACAGGTGGGAAGAAAGGTTTGCTGGCTGGCCCGGAGCTCCCTAGTGGCTGGCTCTCTCGCTGTGGTCCCTGGCACGGGGTAGGTCCATTGTTGATGTTAATGGGAGAGGCTCAGTTTAGCTGCAGTGGATCTGGAGGAGGAGCTAGATAGGGTGATACCTGATTCCAGGTGGGCAAAGGTCACCTGAAGCTTACCTTGCACACCCTTTCCTTTAGTCCAGCCCCAGGAAAGCTAAATAGGGTCCCTCAGCTCAAGGAAAGGCCATGGATAACAACTGGGCATCAAGGAGGAGTAGTCCTCTGTGAGGAGACAGAGCCAAGATAGGCAGAGAAATGTTGGTAGGAAATGACCCAGGACACATTCAAAAGCCTGATGAGAGAAGAACGTTGACTGTCTTTCCAAAAGGAATCCAATCTGGCCAGTCAGCTTTGTGGGAAGAATCCACTGTCATAGGATGGGGCTGGGGACCTAAATACTAATTTTTGGGGTGGGTCCACCTTTCTTCCAGGGAAAAGGGACCCAGGAACCTTCCTCTGTCTATAGTGGGATAAGTCGCTGTGGTTTCTTCTCCCTAATCCAATCCTCACTGGGCATTTAAAACAAGGTTTGGAGCCCTCCATCTCTGTCAGGTTCCCCTATCCCTGGAAGTCTCAGGCCTCCAGAGAGGGGCCCACTTCTCTGAGAGTCAGATCACAAAGAGCTGTCTAGACTTGAATTTCTTCTAAGAGGTACCCCTAGGAGTTCAGGTACCTCAGAATCCTAGAACCCTCTTTTAGCCTCCTGGGAAGAGTCATCTTTTATTTTATTTATTTGTTTGTTTGATTATTTATTTATTTATTGGGGCAGGGGTTCGAGACAGGGTTTCTCTGTGTAGCTTTGGTGCCTGTCCTGGAACTTGTAGACCAGGCTGCCTCTGCCTCCCGAGTGCTGGGATTAAAGGCTTGCACCACCACCACCTGGCTATTTTGTTTCGTTTTTTTTTTTTTTTTTGAGACGGAGTCTTACATGCCCAGTCAGGCTAGCCTCCACTTGCTACGCAACTAAGGCTGAACTTGAACTCCCTTCCTTCCTTCACCTCCTGAGTGATGGAGTCTCACTCTGACCCTCCATCTGTGGTTTACTCTTGTAGTGGGAAACAAACGCAGGGCTTTCTGCAAGCTAGACAAATGCCCTATTATTCGACTTACATGCTCGGCCCGGGAAGTCACTACTTTGGGTAAGTATAATGTAACATCTTAGTGCTCTGGGCTTTGGAGACAGAAAAATGGACTCCCTGGCTTCCATTTGGTTCTCAGACTTTGGGCCCAGGGGGCCCTTAATGAACAAATGAATGAATGAGTTACGACTGATGATCAAGTTCCTCTTCTGGAAAGAAAGCTTATGCTCTGATTGAAGCGAGAGGAGCTCGGGACCATGGGCACAGGAGAGATTGGGAAGATGGAGATAGAGGTAATTCCCAGAACTATCTGAGGGGCAGCGCCTAGCAGACTGGCTAGAGCCTTTCGCCCTGGAGACTTCCCAGCTCCTTCTCTCGGGCAGGGCTGGGATCGGTAGGCCTGGCGACGGGCACTGAGCCCGTTCGTTCGCTGCCCGGCTCAAGCCAGCAGGAAGAGGAGTGAGGCCAGGCGAGGCGGGCCAGCTGGCCAGTGGGGAGTCCCGCGCGTGGGCGCGAGTAGTTGGGGAACCCCCGCCGGTGCCTCCCAGGCTCCATTGTGTGTGCTGTGCCCCCACTTTGGCCTCAGAGTATAAAATAGTCCCCAGAGATGGGATGGCTTGCGTGCCGCGGGCGAGGCGCAACTGAGAGCCAAAGAGGCCTGAGAGATCAGGGGACTGAGACCTGAGCTGAAAGAGGCTGAGGCGCGCCGGACCCCCGGTTCTCGTGGGCGGAGTTTCGAAGGGGCGGGCGCCCGTGGGGCGGGTCCTGAGTGTGGGCGGGGCCGGGGCCGGCACCTGGGTGAGGTCGCGCAGCCCCGCCCCCTCGCACTTCCGTGTGCCGCGGCGCCAGAGCAGGAGGCGGCGGCCGCTGGATCCCGCGAGCGGCCCCCGGACTTCTTTCTACCCTCGGTGCCGGGACCCTGCCGGTCCCCACTGGCCGCCGGGCCAATCCTCACCAGGCCGGTGCTGACCTCCCCGTCCACGCGCATCGGGGAAAGCCGCGCCGCGAGACAGACCCCGGTCCTCCGGGACCCCTGGCGCCTGGCCCTGCGTCGGGAGGTGAGTGCGAGCTGGGCCCGGGCGCGGGGTCCGAGCTAACTCGAGGGCGCAGCGGCCTTTTGCCCCTCTTCTCTCTCCGATGGCTTCCTTTCCCCTCTTCCTTCCCCGGTTCCTGGTTCTGAAACTGAGAAACTGAGCCATTAGAAGCCGGAGTCCCGCCGAGCACGGAGACCCGCGGGTGCCTCGGTCTCCTAGTTGGTCTGACCTTCTCTTCGACGGCAGGAGCCCAGGCCTTATGCTCTCGGCATCTTTACCCTTCTGGGTGCCTTCAACCCCACCGAGGGTCCGTGCGATCCTCCGGAATCTCCCTGGGGGCCTCTACACGTTCGTCGGTCCCCACCCCCTCTTGCCTGGTCCTCCTCTCCCAGGCCGAGTCTGCCTGCCCTCTTGCCGTCCGTGTACTCCGTCTCCCTACTCCCGCCAGGCCCGCCGCCCCCTCGACCCAGTCCTCCCGGAGCCGCGCCCCCGGCCCACGCTCTCAGGCCCCTGCCAGTCCAGCCTCCGGTCCTTTTCCTCCACGGGGCGGAGGCTGGGTCGCCCGTCGTCCTAGCCTCCTGCGCCTGGGTCCCAGGCGGGCGGACCGGCGCGGCGCCTCCTCCTCGCCCTATCTCTTCTCTCGGTCTCAGTGTCTTTCTTGGCTCTCCGGCTGTCTCTGGGCTGGGCGTGGCTCCAGTTCTTACCATTTCCCCTGTCCTCTCCCGCCCCTCGGAGCCCCCTCTCCCGGTAGCCTTTGCCTGGTGCTGTCAGTCTCTGTCCCACAGGAGAGACGCCACTCCCTCTGGGGGGCCTAGTAAGGTGATAGGGCAGCAGTGATGGGAGTGCCCTGCCCTGTTGGCTGGCATCGAGAGGGAGACCAAAACCACCACCACAACGGTTCCCACTTCCCCAACTTCCTCGGTATAGGGGAGGGGAGGGAAGAGGGCCTTACTAAGCAACCCCACTTAAACCTGTCAGGAGGATTTAGAATGAGTGGGGGGGCGTGGGATTCCTTTCTCCTCTGGTTCCTACCCTGGGCCCTTGGAGGAGCTTAGCTTCTGCTGCTGTCTGTGTTTGGGCCTGTGGGTATGTTATGTATCTTGTCTCCTTGTGTATTGTCACTGTAGGACTTTCCTTGTGTGTCCTTTTCCACGTGTGACTTGCTTGTATGTTTATGACTGTCTATGTGTCTTGAGGCTCCATGCGTGACCCTTACAACGTTATACGTCATGTCTTGGCGAAGGCGAATTGCCATTGGTCTCCCCTCTATTTTGTGATATGTGTCTTTGCTTGCTCATGTGTGTATATGTATCCCTGTGTGTCCCAAAAGTCCTATGTGCACCATGTAATGGTGACCATCTGGCCATGAGTAGATCCTTTAATTATAGGAGCCCACACTATAGGCGGGCCAACCCACAAGGCTTGTGTGTGAGTGTGTCTGTTTAAGAGTGCCTCCAATCGTTTTCGGTTCTTCCCCCGCTGCTGCTGATCTTCTGTGCCCAGGCTGATCTGGTATAGAGGGAGGGGACTGGTCCTTGGGTTTCCTCGTTCCTGCTGTGGATTAGCCTGGGTGTGGTGAGCAGCCCAGCCGAGGGTGGTTGTGTTTCCTCAGTGGCAGTATCTGTGTGATGGTGTAAAGGCTCTGGTATATGACAAGACCATGCTGAAGGTGACACTGGCAGTCCGGGGCTGTAATGGGAGAGTGTGACTGGTAGGAGACGCGTGGTCTGACAGTATGCAGGTGTTGAGGCGTGACAGTGGCTGTGGATAACAGCAACAGGAGGGTGTGAGAGGGTATGGGCAGTAGGACTTAGGAGGGATGCTGGGTGCCCAGCTGTGGGTAAGCTTACGGGAGAACAGGAGGTGCTGGGTGTGTGCTCTGCATGCAGAAGCCCAGCCCTGGCTGCTGGAGAGAAGGAGAAACCTGGAGAAAGTTCTGGGTTTGCAGTGGTATGCTCAAGACTTCAGGTTCTGGACCAAAAAAGCCATGGGCTCTGTAAGAGTAGGAGTCCCTGGGAGGCAGAGGCAGGCGGATCTCTGTGAGTTTGAGGCCAACCTGGTCTACAAGAGCTAGTTCCAGGACAGGCTCCAAAGCCACAGAGAAACCCTAACTCAAAAAAAAAAAAAAAAAAAAAAAAAAGAGTAGGACCCAAGTCAGGCCTCTGTATGCTGAATTTTCTTTGTAGAGCAGAGAAATCGAGGACTCAGATTCTTCAGTAGTCTTGGCTACCGCACATGTGAGGTCTTATGTGGGGACCGTTCCTGGCTGGCTGCCCTAGTCTTCTGGAATCTGGGACCATATTTCCCTTGTAGCGTGTCGTTTGCCTCTTCCTGCCTCCCTGACTAGGCTGCAGGCAGGAAGGAGGATTCTCCAGAGTACCAGAACCCAGACCTGTTCAACCCTGCTCAGCCCCGCCCCAACTGGCCCCCAATCTCTGTAGCTATGGTGGGGGGAGTGGGGGTGACTCAGAACTGTGATTATTGCAGGGTTCTGACACCATTTATCTGGCACAGCTAATTGGAGTTTAAATTTAAACTGGAAATCATTTAAGTACTGATGGCAAGATAAAGCCTGAGGCTGCTGCTGCTTCAGGAAGTAGAGATGGGGTCTCTAGTTGGGGGAGTGGGACTTCTTTGTTGTTGTTTTTCGAGAAAGTGTTTCTCTGTGTACCTGCCCTGGAACTCCCTCTGCAGACCGGGATGACCTCCGACTCACAGAGATCCACCTGCCTCTGCCTCCCAAGTGCTGGGATTAAAAGTGTGCACCACCACTGCCCTGCAAGGGGGTGGGACTTTTTGAGGAGACCTAGCTTGCAGTGAGAATGCCACATACTTAGGCTAGGGCCCTGTGCTGCCTTTGCCATTCCTCCTGGTCAGGATATCTCTAGGCCTCAGTGTGTTCAACTGTACAAGGGTGCGATAGTCATGTGAGAATCACCTGAGACCACGAAACAAGGACCAAGATGAATTACTATTACTACTCTGTCCTCTTGATTTCTTAGTGGCACTGAAGACTGAACCCGGGACCCTACTTGGAAGGATCACTGAACTCTTTTCTTTTTTTAGTTTTTGAGACAATCACATTAGGTTGCCCAGTCTGGCCATGAACTTTCTTTCCATGTAGCACACATTCACCTTGAATTTTTGCTTTTTCTGCCTCGGGCCCCTGAGTAGCTAGGCTTACAGGTTGTGTTTTACCGTATTACGGTCATCTCTTGCTTTCACTGTGAATCTAGCACAAGAGCTGGCAAGACATGTTTTGAAGCCTCAGAGCCACCTGGGGCACTGGAACAGTAATATTTCCCCCCAGTTAAAAATTAGGCTTACAGTTGGGCATAGTGACACACCTTTAATCCCAGCACCCAGGAGGTAGAGGCAGGTGGATCTTGCAACCAGGGATACACAGAGAAGCTCAGTCTCAAAAAGGTAGGGGTGGGTGGAAAGGCTCACTCAGTTTACATAGTGAATTTGAAGCCAGTCTTGGTGACATGAGACCCTGTTCTTATCTAAAACAAGAAGGGGGGGGTCAAAGGAATTGTCTGAGGTTGGTGCTTGATTGCACCCTGCAACTCCAAAACCTTTAGGTCCACCTCCTTGACAGGAGGGTCAGAACAGGTGTTCACCCCCCACCCCTACCATGTTCCATGGCCTCCTTACCATACTCGAAATGTTCTGGGCAAGGACACAGTGTTCTAGACCCTAACATGGAAGGGACATGTAGCTGGTTCCCAGGAGAATTTGAGCCTAACAGGCAGCGACAGAATAGAAAGTCAAAACCAGGGAAGCCTGACCTCCTTCGCCCAGCAATGCTGAGCCGGCCTGTGCTGGCTGTGCAGAGGCTGGCTGGTGCTGGAGCCTGTTTGGCTGAGCCTCCCAGCTCAGCTGTTTTCTCCTGTTCCTACAGGTCTGCTGGGAATTGGCCCAGGCAAGGGCGTTGGGCCTACTTACTTCTGGTGGTTAGTGAGTGACTGCTGCAGCAGGAGCCGGGAGGCCTGGGTAGGATGGATCGTCTAGGGCAGATGGGCACGGCACTGTGCCAGGGTACCTTTCTCTTCAAGACTTGTCTTCTTCCATTGGGACTGGCTGGATCCCAAGTTGCATTAAAAAGCTGTGATCTGGGTGTGAAGCAGAGTGTCCAGCTACCTGGCTGTGGCTTTGACCTTGGAGTTCAAAGCACTGGAACCCCAGTACTGAGAGAGAAGATGCTATGACACTGCTTTTGGTCAGTTTGAGGGACAGTAGCATGTAAACCAAGGGTTGCGTCAGCTTTCCCGTGCTTCCTCAAACTGCCCTCGTGTCACAGGAAACAGGTTCACCCGTGCCCCGTGGTGCCTTGAGTGCTTGTCTGGAATAGGATGGCGTCTCCCAGGGGGACCGAGTGGTCTCCTACTTCTCCCTTGTCTCCTCAGCCTCCTGATTCAGAGCTGAGCTCTGCTGGGCACTGTCTTTGAGGGATGGCAGGGGAAGGCTGCAAGTCTCTGAAGTTAGCAGTGCCCCTATTGGGCCAGGCTTGCTTCCTTGAGCCCTTGTTGACATAAATTCCTGTGACCTAGGTGCCCCAGCTGTGTGGTAGTGTGCTTAGTGTGTGAAGCCCTCATATAAGCCCCAGCACCCAAAACAAACAGAAAGAAAGAAGAAACAGGAGGAAGGAGGAAGGAAGTAGTTCTGTGTGTGCCTGGAGGAGCCCCCATGAGCAGAGGTCTGCATGTGCATACACACATGCATGTGTGTGTCCTGGAGTCCGCAGAGTGACAGGGCAGGCTGGCAAGGGTAGTTTCCCTTCAGGGGTCCCTTGATCAGCCCCCATTCCCACTCTCTGGCTGTTAGCCACTGTTAGTGCAGGACTTGTGAAGGTGTTTGAAGCATCTCGGTGTGGAGAGGGAGGAGGTTGAGGTTCTCACTCCAGTGGGAATTGGATAAGGGTCTTCTCTGGGTCTTCTATCTATTCATCCTACCCCGGACCTGGTGGGGAGGGGTTGATCTGCTTGGGGCTTTCAGCTGCCTGGAGTCAGGGAAGCCAGCTC